GCTGTGTTCATCCAGCTCTACACCTTGTTATCTCAAATTTTTTTTCATATCCACTGGCGAGAGCAGACAGGACCTCAATTAAAGTTCAAAAGACAGCACTCCCAAAAGATTGTAGCACTCCCTCAATATTGTACTGTACTTTCACACCAGGTTGCGTTACTCAAGTTCTGGAAAAGTACTTGAATCTACAACTTTCTAAGCAAGGTCAAGCGTCATCAAGTTAGCACAGCTGACACGAGCCTAGGTATCATCGATTCTGATGAGAACCTTGAACTTTTGTCCCATGATCTGTGCATAGAGTTCAAAATATGGAGTAAAATGAATTCAGTGGATTAAGATTTATTACCAATTTAGAGAAATTAGCAGAGTATCAGAAATGGTCACAATTAAAGGTTCTTACAGACAAAGGTTCTTCTCCTTCCCTTCCAACAATGGTTCAAGCTGGCACAATGTCTCTGTGAACGTTTTCCAATGGAGAGGCTGCTTTGGTTGGATGCGCTGTAGAACATGAAAAGCAGTGGTAGCTCCCGATATGCCCGTGGTCAGTGTATGAAGCAGGGTTTGGAATGGTTTCTCAAACTGTTCCAGCAGCTCTTTATAGTCCCTCATGGCCCTTGTGAGAAATGGCAATCAAAATTCTGCGCTTATTTAAAACGAGCTCGCACGTGAGTTGCTATCCGAAGCAACAAGAACAGCCTCCATCTCCAAATCTTATCTTCAGTCCAACTTGCACGTTTATCTCATGCCTACTGGTTGGAATTCTCCTCTCCAACTTATCTTTGCTTTAGGTAAGTTGGGAATTATACAGCCCCTTCTTTCTGCCACCTTGCCTTCCTCTACCTTGTCCTGTTAATCACTGCCTTCAGTTCCTGCATGTTCCTCCTCTCCAACTGTCCTGTCAATCTCCTGTTAGTTTGCTGACCCACACATCTTACTGCTCTATTTCATGACTGCTGGTCCCTCGAAATCGATAATTTATTTCCTATTGAATTACGTTACACCAAAGACCGTGTTTACAATGTAGATGAATTCCAGTTGGACACGATATTGTTGTTTTTGTGGCGATAAAGGCAGAGGGCTCGGTTAAAGCACCAAACGTCAAACTCTGCTTCCACCCTTTTCAACTTGTAACCGGGTAATGAGTTACTGCCTTTCCTCTGAGAAAGACAATGTCCCAGTACAAACAAACAAACCCTTTCTGGGTATGTCCTCCTCTTCCCTCACCACTCCCGGCCGTTTACTTCCGCTGTTCCCTCGCTCCGCGCGGCCCACTCGAAACGTCCGTCGTCACTTCCGTTCCGTTTGGCGGGTCCTGCGAAACTTCCGGTCTGTAACAGCGCCCCTCCATAGTGCTCTCATAGCCCTACAGGCTGTGGACAGTGCCCTCTCACGCTGAAGTCAGGTAACTACAAGGTGAGCGCCCACCCCGCCCTCCCCCCCGCTACCTCAACCATGTCCGTTGTGTAATCATGTGGAGACAGACACCAGCCAACCCCCGCGGTTCTAGAGTGTAGACAGTACACCCAACCCCAATCCCCACGGCACGGTTATGGTTACGTAACTATAAGTCCAAAGATGTGCAGGCTACGTGGATTGGCTATGCTAAATTACCCATAGCGTTCAGGAATGTGTAGATTAGGTAGGTTATAGGGATGGGTCTGGGTGGGATGCTCTGAGGGTCAGTGTGGACTTGGGCTGAAGGGCCTGTTTCCACACCATAGGGATTCTGTGAAGTGGACACAGCACTCCCCCTATGATGTAATTATCTACCTACAAAAGGTGGAGACGTGTCCCCCATGCTGAGATCATTTTTTACTACAAAGATATCAACAATCTTCCCCATTCCCCCAGCCATGTGATCAAATAACAATATGAACAGAGCTCCCAATGGTGAGGCCATGTAATTACAAAGGTAGACGCAATAGACCCATGGTGGCAAATATGTAACTACAAAGTAGCAATAGTGCACGCACACCACAGTGTCATCATGGTTACCTCCTGCGAAAGGTGAGAGGCAGTGTTCCCCAATCCTGTTCTCTAGCTCCTGCCCAGTGCACTGGAAGATCTGCAGGATGAGAATCAGCCTCTGAAGTCACATGAGTCGAGGAACGGCCAGTGATGGAAGAAACCAACTCCAAGATTAAGTCAATTCTCATTACAGGCTGAGTTCCATTATGTACCAATTATAAAACATAATATTTTTATGGGAAAGGGATGGGGCAACATTAACAAATGCGATTGTTGCTTTTTAGCTTGCATAGATAACAACATCTAGATTAAGCTGCTTCTCAGAATAAAATCCTTTTGCTGGAAATTAATATTATCCACTAATATTCAATGTAAACCAATGCAAGGCAACAAGACTTAAAGCAAATCCAATTTTTCTCCAAATGAATTTTCTCTTCAACCCTCGACCCATAAAAAGGCAGCAGTTGAAGTACATAGTACAGCTGTAAATTCACTTTTAATGCATTTTTTTTCCTCAGGATATTGGGACAAATTTCAAACTTTAAGTTAGGTCAGGCAAGAGGCTGAAATGTTAGAAGAAAACCTGAATTTGGATTCATAAAGCGCAATGGGAAGGTTTCACAGGGTTAAAATTGAGGCAGGACAGTAAGTGAGTAGCTAACAAGCATGTTTTAAAGGAGGTAGGTTGGCATTTTAAAATTGAGGCCACTTGCCTCATTACTTTACAAGCTTGAACTCCATTATAGATAATCCAGTTCCTCCAAGTCTTGTAACATAGGATGGACTACCAACAGATTCAGGTGGCCCTCCAGGGTAACAGCCACTCTTCCATATCTCACGCGGCTTATCATACACTCCCATGAAGAGCCTCGGAATGGGTTTTGATGTTAAAAAGGTGTTATATAATTTCACTTAAGGTTTGTGTTGAATGTTTACTTGTTGCACTTCTACAACATGCCTCAAATGAATGCAAAATAGCTTGTGCTCAAAATCTCAAACTTCTATTGTTCATACCAAATTTCAGTAACTTCAAAACTGAAGATCTAAGTCATTACAATACAAAATTATTCAAAAGGATTTTATTTGTATTCTGTGCCATACATCTGAATCTCAAACATAATCAGTGATCATTCAAATTTACTAAAAGCATCTTCAGGACAAATCCAAAAATGTATCATTCAATTATACTTCGATTAACAATTGAAGCAGCTGATTTGTTTGCCTTCTACAGAAGTGGATAGACCTTGATGCAGTGTTGCTCAGAGTTATTTGGGATACTATTTTCTTCTTATCTGAGCAATTTCTGATGTGACACTGTTTCTCCAACAGAACAAATGAAATTCCCAGATCCATGAAAATCAAACTCAATTTAGAACTGCATATATTTTAAATAAGCAAACATTACAACTACTATAAATTAGATCAAGTAAAACCTGCAGCAAAGCGGGCTTTGATACTGAACATCTTGAAGGATTTCTGAGCAAAAAACAAATCTAACAGTTACTTAAGGCACAGATACTTCAGGTAGAATTACAATTGATCACTGGGAATCATTGATGACTAGATCAGATCAGACAGACATGGCAATTTATCATTTGTACAGGCACACTAAAATGTGAGAATATATTGTGTGAAGCCTTAAATGGAAAAATTCTGTTCAGACTATTACTGCTATTGAACTACATCCAGCCAGCCTCGCATTAACTTTGCATTCGTATATAACTTGGTGAGCTTGTAACTTGGGATAAATCCAAAAATGTGTCCTAACATATGGCTTCAAATTAGAACTCTTATAATGCCTGTGTAATTCTTTCCAATTTACCATACTAACAGTATACCAGCCAGCCTGATTTTACTTAGAGTATCAGAGGAAACTCAGTCCTTAATCTTGGGTAAAAGAGACAGTTAGCATGCTAGTCTATTACACCACCTAGTCCCACACACCTTGGATTCAGATGATAAATTGCCAGAAAGGTAAAGATTAATTTGTTGCATCACCTGGATACTGCATCACTTCGTCACCAACGGTTGCATCAGGAAATCACTAGCTTACATGATTTTTGGTGCCAGTACAATAATACATGAAGGGCAAATAAAAATTAAAAATAAACAAAGACAGCAGAATTGAAAATGTCTAACAAAATCCACCAACATGTCACCACAGTCCCTCTTGATTGCTTTGTAGATTTTTTACAAATTTAATGGAGCAAACTGATATCTATAAAGAGTTTTCAGTAGTAAACGTGAATCTATGTATTTGGTTACAGGTGCATTGAACATGAAGCTCTGAATTTTAAGCTTTCTAAACAGATTCAAGTGACTGTACAGCACTGTATACATTGTACATGTATTTGAATCTGTACAAACACATACTTGATATAGAGGATGATAGTATTGAATGCAACATGCATACAAACCAACTTGTATCGCTTAATACCAGTAAGGCAAACACCACTGTTGAGTGCAAATATTTTCACTTAGTTTGCAAATCACACCTCCCCAAAGCCAAATATAGGAACCTCGACACTTAGTAAACAAAACGCATTCCTTGCGAATATCCCAGTTTGTCCAAGTTGGGGTTGCATGCAAATTGAATCATGGGAGGTGGACCACACATAAGGATCAAGACATCATCACCAGGTGGTGGCAGGTGTTCCTTCATCATTTCAGCATTCAAAAAGCCTTCACTGAAATCCCAACCTAGAACAGAAGAGTTATTTACATCAGGCAACAGTCTTTTAGGATAGTTTGTCTCTCTCAAGAGTTGGCTTTTATTAATTACTCAGGTCAATGCCAGAAATACCCATTTGAAACTGGTATTCAGTGGAATACCATTTACCTGGTCAGGAATGCAAGGTCAAGTGGATTTAGACATTAAATCATCTCAAGGCAATTAGGGGTATAAAAGCTGGTCTGCCCAGTGACGTGCATATCCGTGAATAAGAAGTAAAAACCAGGCTCCCAGAGAAGTGCTAAACAAAAATAACTATACAAGAAAGGATAAGGACAACAGAAATAGTTGGAACTTGCTCAAAGTAATTTTTAACTCCTAGCTACCATCAGTTCTGAGGAAGGGTCACTGGACCTGAAATGTTAACCGATTTCTCTTCACAGATGCTGCCAGACCTGCTGGGCCTTTCCAGCAACCCCTGTTTTTGTGTGTTAATTTTTATTTGCACTGGCTAACACTTCTGATCATTGTGGAGGAAGTGTGTAATTATGTGTTTTCTGAAAAAGGATCACTGGACCTGGAACGTTAATACTTTCTCTCCACAGATGCTGCCAGGCTTGCTGACTTTCTCCAGCAATTCCTGTTATTTGTTTGTAATTAGCCTTTCTGGAAAGATTTTAGAGCAAATACGCATTCTTCAGAATAATCTCCATTCTACCCATTAAAGAGTGAATTGCAAATGTAATAACTCTTAGCCATTGCAAGCCATTCTAAGGCCATTCAGCCCAGTGAGTCCATGACAGCATTCTATTCCACTTATTCAGTTTTCTTGATATTTTCTCTGAACTGCTGTGATCAACTTCACAGGGTATCCTGTATTCTAATGGATTGCTCTGCAGAAGCATTTATTCTGATCAAACTCTACGCTTTTAATACTAATCCTTGTTTCTCATATCAGTTCGTCTGTAGTCATAATTCTGTTCTGATCCCGGTTTTTAAAATTAGTTAACCTCAGCCAGGGCACTTCAGTTAACTTCACTTTTCTTTCAACCCCAGGAACAAGGGACAGGTGCTAAAAAATATATATCTAGTGTAGCAGAGGGAAATTAACCCTAAATCTACAACTGATTTGAAGAACTACCCACCTAGACTTTTTTGTCCTTTAAGCATCTAATTATTCTTCACCCTCCTCCTTCCCTACAATAAATTAAAACATTTATTTTGCACTTTCAATCACTAGCATTGGAGCATAGAACAAAACACAGGGAAATGCTTTTGGCAAACTGGAGAGAGAAAAAAAGTTTTCAGAATTAGTCTCTCAAAGACGATCTCTGAAAGGTTCATATGATTGGCTCCTAAATGTACAAGTTTACATACTTGTGAAGAACAATTTAGAACTGAATACTGTGACTCCAGTTCTATTTATATAGTGAAAATATGAATCCAGAATTGAACATGAATTAAATAGCCCTCTATCCGAGAATAATAAAAATAGTTTATTGCAAAATTGCTTTGTGTACTGTAAAGAAAAAAGTTTATAATCTACCTTCAGGAGCCTTATCCACTGTATACCACAACCTAAAGCGGTCAGAATACTGAGCTTGAATTTCCTCCAGGTCATCACGAAGCAGAATGTCCTTTTCAGTCTAAGGCAAAAAATATTGACAAAA